AGCGCGACAGAAAGCCTTCATTTCTGTCAAAATCTTAAGAAGTGCTTCTTCTGAAAACCTCAGGGGTGAATGGGACCAAATTGGACTCGGGGACGGAGATTGCCCGCCGACATAAACACCGCTTTGGAATGAAAGGAGTCTTGTAGAAATATATATATATAATATATATATATATATATATATAATATATATATATATATTATATATATATATATCTATATATATATATATCTATATATATATATATCTATATATATATATATCTATATATATATATATATATATTATATATATATATATTATATATATATATATTATATATATATATATCTATATATATATATATCTATATATATATATATATTATATATGTATTAAGTAGAAGTGGGGGGAGTGGGGCAGGGAGGGAAGAGGAAAGAGAGGAAAGAGAGGGAGATGAAGAGAGGAAGGAGAGGGAAAGGGAGAGAGGAAAGAGAGGGAGAGAGGGAAGAGAGGGAGAGAGGAAAGAGAGGGAGAGGGAGGGAGGAAAGAGAGGGAAAGGAAGGAAAGCGAGAGGGGGGAGATGGAGAGAAAGAGGGTAGAGAGAGGGAGGGAAGTGTGTGTGTAAGAGGGATGGAGAGAGAGAGAGAGAGAGAGAGAGAGAGAGAGAGAGAGAGAGAGAGAGAGAGAGAGAGAGAGAGAAATGAGAAAGAGAGAGACCCACTCCCTCTCCCACTCTCCCACCCACTCTCACTCATCCACTCCCCCCCCCCTCTTTCCATCTCGCCAACAAATCCAATAGACACCACGATAGGTCTCGAGATTAATTCTAGAGGAGCGTCTTGCCTCGATGTATACAAGCGATGGGCGTTTGATCTCGTGGCAAGGGAGTGGGGGTCATCTGCGCCGCCTCAGAGGTACATACAGATTCATTAGGACAGTGTTTGTGGGGTGGTGGTAGGGGTGGAGGTGGTGCTTTGTGTCGGGGGTATGTTTGTGTGTGTTTGATTGTCTTTCTGCCTGTCTGTTTGTGTTTGCATGTCTGTCTTTTTCTCTCTTTCTCTGTCTGTCTCTCTCTCTCTCTCTCTCTCTCTCTCTCTCTCTCTCTCTCTCTCTCTCTCTCTCTCTCTCTCTCTCTCTCTCTCTCTCTCTCTCTCTCTCTCTCACCCTCTCTCCTTTCTCCTCCTTCCCTATCTTCTTCTGCTTCCCAGAAGTGTCACACATAATACAACTAAAAATATACAACTTGTGTTGGCCCCTATTCTTTATATATAATAGTCCCTTCAAACGAGTTTTCAGAAAATGAAATCAAAATGAGAAAGTTTATTGCTCAGATGGGAAGAGATTTGCTCTCACAGAAAATGCAGCAATTCAGCTTCTAAAAGCGCGACAGAAAGCCTTCATTTCTGTCAAAATCTTAAGAAGTGCTTCTTCTGAAAACCTCAGGGGTGAATGGGACCAAATTGGACTCAGGAGACGGAGATTGCCCGCCGACATAAACACCGCTTTGGGAATGAAGGAGTCTTGTATATATATATATATATATATATATATATATATATATATATATATATATATATATATATATATATATATATGTATTAAGTAGAAGTGGGGAGTGGGGGAAGGGAAGGGAGAGAGAAATGGGGCAAGGGCGAAGGTAGGCAGAAGGGGGAGGAGCGGGGAATGAAGGTAGGGAGGAAAGAGGAATTGGATAAAGGTAAAGGTATATATATATATATATATATATATATATATATATATATATATATATATATATATATATATATATATGTATATATATGTATATATATATGAATATATATATATATATATATATATATATATATATATATATATATATATATATATATATATATATATATATGTATGTATATATATGTATATATATATATGTATATATATATATATATATATATATATATATATATATACATATATATATATATATATATATATATATATATATATATATATATATCTGTATGTATGTATATATATATATATATATATATATATATATATATATATATATATAGTGTGTGTGTGTACACGCACATATATATGGCACACGCATAGATACGGGCATGAAGATGGAGATATTAATCTGAATTAACGCAAACAGCTTTTGTTTTGTTGTACATATTCTCCCTACCCACACAACCTCGCAGCTAACCTTCAACTGTTTATCCGAACAAACCCACAAACAAGTCAGACCTCCCTCTCTCCTGGAGATCCCATATAGACCCATAAACAAGTTAGACTTGTCACTGACACAATCTCCTACCTCCCCCTCTTCCCTCCCTCTCCCCCTCCTCCCTGCCCACCGCCTCCTCTTTCCCCTCCTTCCCTACTTTCCCTCCCCTCTTCCTCCCTCTGCACCTCCCCTCTCCCCACCTCTGCCCTTCTTACCCCTCTTTCCTCCTCCCCATCTCTGCCCTCATCCTATCCATCTCAACCTTTCCTTTCCCCCTCCCTACCTTTACCTTTACCCAATTCC